GATTACTTCTTGAAAAATTGTTAATAAAATACATTATTTGAAAATTCTTTAAGTTGTTATTATTAGAATATATATATATATATATATATATATATATATATATATATATATATATATATATATATATATATATATATATATATATATATATATATATATATATATATATATATTCTTTCTCATCTGCTTCATTGTCAGTTATTTACTTCATATTATTTTTGCGAGGCACCTCCATCTAGAGTGTTCCATTCTATATTCTAACACCACTTTCCCCCTATTTTACTCCCAAACTCCACATTTTCATTCTCATTCTCCTTCCTTTCTCTTCATCTTCAGGTATGCATCTTCCCCTTTCTCATTTCATTCATCACTTTCTTCTCTCACAATTCACTCATCTTTTCCTTTTCTCGTTCTTCAGGGCGTTTTGTCTTCTCTTCATTTCCCACCTTCACGTCTGGTTTTTCAAAATCTGTGAAAAAAAATGACTCATATCCTTTGATATGGATGGTCTTGTTTTTCTGTTTATTTATTCATTTTTATATGGATTATGATGGAGGTTAATATATAGTTGCGTTTTGCTACTCCAAAGGAGGAATATGCAGTTATTTGTTCTGCGTTTGGGTTTTGCTTGTTTTGCGACGTGGATTCCATTGTTTGGACTTAACTGAAGCGAACGTGGTAACCAGAGGGACCGAGATCGTGAAAGGGCTCAGGCAAGAACTGGTGGAAAAACTAAGCAGCCTAAGAATGATGGGTTGACTCCTGAACAGCGCAGGGAGAGGTAGTTTTTTTGTTCACTTTCTCTTTTTAAGCACTTGGCAATCGCATAATTGGTGTTCTAAGAGAAATGCTGACCGTATTGTCTGAAACGTTGAATACATACTCAGTTATTGGTTAAAATATAATGAAGAGAGTTAAATATGTTTTTAAGTACTTATAAAATAAGCATGTATTGATATTGATCTATACAAAATATTTTCTATGATCTCCTAAAATTGAAAATCATTGTCTTTTATCCTATTAAGATGAAAAAAGAAGAAATATATTTTATAAAGATTAAAATGAAAATTCTAAATTATATAAGGATTAAAAACAACGGTTTTAAAATTTGTATGGATAAAAAATCAAGATATTTTTTTATATATATAAAAATTAAATTAACTAAAACGTGTTTAAGCATATCGTATATCACCTGTTACATATCATAATTTTTGTCTTTCTTTTGTTTATACAGTTTTCAATGAATTTTTACTAACAGTTAAGTGTGTCTTAAAAAGAATGTGGTAAGTAGTGCTTTGCCAGCACCTCCTCATGTTTCAAATTTAAAATTTACAACCAAAATCAATAAATATACCTTCAAATGCTAGCCATTCATGCAGCCACAAGTGTGGTCGCATTGCAAATACCAATTGTGGGCTGCAATGTGGTTGTAGAGAACAAATTACTAAAACTTTGTGGGATACAATTTTAAACCTTGATCTGACATTGTTTTTACTTTGTGTGCAGGGATGCGAAGGCATTGCAGGAAAAAGCGGCGAAGAAAGCTGCTCAGGCTGTAGGAGGGAATAATGCAGGTGGTGGAGGAGGCAAAAAATAGGCAAGATTGTTGACTTGGGGAAGGGGAGAGACTGTATACATGGGAAAAATTGTATTGCTTATTATTATACGGGCTTTTGGTTGAGAGCCATCTGCGTATGTCATTTCTGATAAACAATTGAACAACTGATGTTTAGCATGGAGGGCATTGTTCTTGGCTTTTGATCCTTTGACTTCTATATAATTTGGAATTCAATTTGTGTGTAGCTTGTTGTAATGATTTATTGCTTTCTTTCTGATTTTATTGCCTCTGAATGGATCAGATCTAAATGTGTGTATGTTGTTGATTTATGTAATTTGTCAAAGGCACTGAAATGGGTAGAGCCGTAGGGACCTCTTAGATCCTACATGTATAAACGACAGTTAGAACTATTCGTCGGATAGAGAAGGGAAGCTGAGCCCCTAAGTTCGTTATTTAGAAAAGTATAAATAATAGGAGAGGAGGGAAAGAATCTTGGGAGCCTTTTGGTTTGGGAGGAGAGCATAAGTCTCAAACATTATGAAGAGTTATGTAAAATTGTGTATCATAGTAATTGCTGGTGCAATATTGAGGTGTGAGCACAATCCAAATTATTAAATTTCAACATTTCTATAAACCTTACATGTAGAAGGTGAACGCAATCAGTTATTATGAACTGAGATTGCTTCGTCGCAGATGCTTCTTTTTGTCACCATCCTTTCAAGTCATTTTCGTATGAAGGTGTTATTGTGGAATCGAGAAATATGATCAATTGATAAATCGGTAAGATAGACAAAAGAAATCATTCGATATCAAATTAGAAGTACGTAGTACATAACATCGAGAGGCACAATCGAAAATTGGGTGAATGATAACCAAATGCTTGTTGTCGAATAAAAAACTAGGAAACTAGAGTCATATGATGTTAAGGTTAAACCCAAAGCAATGCAAAGTGTTCGATATCATCGAATGCGAAGGGAACATGGACATCGAAACTCTGGACAAACCACAAAGAGAAGAATAAGTCAAACGCACGTATAGAAAGCAGTTATGGGACCATGGAAGGAGTCGAGGATCGTGAGAACGTGGGAAACTGTAGAAAAAGAAACCGTCATGCACGAAAGAACGTGGTAGCAGTCTTATTAACTGTTCTTGGAAGGCTTGAAGGAGGCCCTATAAATAGAGCAAAGAAGGAAGGAACGGGGGAGCGAGAAATTGGCAGAGAACAGAATCAGTAGTGAAAAATCTACCGGAGAAACGACGAACACCATGAAGTTTCTGGCAATCTGGATCTCCTTGCTCATTGAGTACATTTACCGCTTTCTGTATTTTCCTTGGTAATTTGCATTTGATGCAATTTAAATTCAGCAGTTTTATGTTTCTGTATTTTCGATTCCTTGTCATTTCAATTCAATGAAGGTTTAAGTTTCTGCATTTAAGCTTCCCTGTCGTTTCACATTCTGCAAATCTCGATTTATTGCCATTTACATTCCCTGCACATTTCGATTTCCTGCCATTTATATTTGCACTATTTTCGATTCCTCGTCATTTACAATTAATGCAAATTTGGGGTTTTCGCACTTTAGATTGTCTTGCAATTTAATGTTCTGTTTCTCGATTCGATACTTTACTGCTTTCAGTACTTTAAATACAAAATACCAAAAACAACTTTTTTGATATCTTGTGATTTTCGATCCTCATACACGTTTTCGATTGAAAGTCAGACTGCTAGCCTAAGTAAAAAGAATTTACGTGGGAGGATTTCGATTAGGACCATAACACTGTTTAGAATCGAAATCGATCGAAATTCCACCAGAAACAGAAGGATAATGGAAACCTTGGGCATACGGACTAGTAGCAATAAATTGGTGGGTAATCCAAGTGTGATTCTAAGTTTTATATTGCGTAACAATAAAAAAATTGAACATCACATAAGGAAGTATGATCCATAATTTAATATTTTAAGGTTTTGGATTGAGAGTAATGTCAATTTTTATGTAGGTTGGATTCATATTTCATTGGTATGTTTCTCTCATATGAATCTCCCATAAAAAGACCTAATAAGTGGTATCAGAGTCGAAGTCGAAGGTTGATCGACAGTGGATGATCGTGGGTGATCGGCAGTTGGTCAGAATGGTCTTTATATCGAAAATCTTCCTGGCAGAGTAGTTTTTATATCGAAAGTCTTCCTAGAAGAGCGGTTTTTGTATCGAAAGTCTTCCTGGAAGAGCGGTCTTTGTATCGAAAATCTTCTTGACAGAGTGGTCTTTGTATCGAAAATCTTCTTGGTAGAGCGAATCAGGTAAGCGTGTCCCATTTACATGGAAAGTCCACTAATGAGCTCAAGGGAATATACCAATATGGAAGAATTCTTTCCTGACAGAGTAGTCTTTGTATCGAAAATATTTTTGACAGAACGGTCTTTGTATCAAAAGTCTTCCTGGCAGAACAAGTCAGGTAAGCGTGTCCCTTTTACATGAAAGGTCCACTAGTAAGCTTGAGATGATATATCATTATGAAGGAATTCACACTTGATATCCAAATATGATTTTAAGTCCCACATTGTGTAAGAATGAGAAAGTTAAGCAAGATATAAGAAAGTATGATTCATAACTTAATGCCTTAAGGTTTTAGGTTAAGAGTGTGTCAATTCTTATATAAATTGGACTGATATTTTATTGGTATGTTTCTCTCTTGTAAATTTCCCTTTAAAGACCTAACATCATCTTTATATAGATGAAGTTGATGTCTTTACCCAATCAACTTCTTGGTCCTGCATTGAATGCAATGAACTTGTAAGAGGGTATGTGAATAATCCCTCCTTTCTTGAAGATCCACCTCTCTTATCTAAATTTCAAGCAATGTTCACTCCAGATTTCCTCTGCCCTTCCCATGGTGTATAGAGAATATACTGTCATGGTAGTTGAATTAATCCGACGACCACTAGGAAGAATATCAGATTTTAAGGCACACTTGTGCTCAAATGGTACGGGAGGATAAATCCTTAATTCTTCACGTTTTACTGCATGGAGGTAAGTAACTTGAGCCATTCCATACCTAAATCCTTCCCATTACCTTTTCTTGCTGGTAATAATTTCTCGAATCTCTTACAGAACCTTAGGTTCCACAGGTTGTGTGTTGCCACAAACCAGAAAAACCAAGTGAGACCTGCACTAATGGTATCTCTCCTAGCTGCAAGGAGATTTATTGCTGTGTCTCGGAAACTTTTCACCTATTTATCCCTTTCCTACTTCACTAATAATAACATCTAGCAAGCTAAACCATGACTCATGATGTTGAAATCTAAGTGTAGATTGAAATCTTATATTAGTAGAAATAAAAAGTTGAATATGACATTTAAATGAGAGAGAATGAGAGAGATCATAAAACCAATATGATTTCACTTGTAACCTTATTGGTGAATATTATGTTATTATCTCACGTTATGGAAGTGTGTTTGTTGAATATGTCCTGCTTGGTATCCAAAAAGAAGAAAGGCCACGGTCACCAGGAATTCTCCAGAACTGATGCTAGTATTTGAGAACCAAAACTGTCTGGTGATGGTGTTCTAGTGTTGGGTGGAAAGCATATAAGAACTATCAGGTTTTTTTTCTGTTCATCAGCATTTGTTTTTCGATATATGTTTTGTCCACAAACACCCGAGTTCAAGATCTTTGGTCCACAAAAACCCGCATTTCGCCCAAAATATTAATAAATATCAACTATAAAAAAAATTTAATTTGTGTCATGAAAATTGGCCTCAGAATGGCTTTCGTGGATTGTTTAAGGTATCCTACAAAGTAGTCCTCAATTCTGATTGTAATTTCTTAGCAAGACTAGCCCCCAGCCAGCATAAACTTTGTTACATATCAAAAAATTAACATGATTACTACTTTGATGTAATAATTTGCTATTTCACCTGACGAAAGTTATCTTCCCACTTGGGAAAAATACTTACATTTTTTAGGTTATCCAAGTACTTTAGAAATTTATCTGAAGGAAATTCTGATGATTTTTGTGCAGAAGAATATTTGTAGAAAACCCTTGCCAATTTTACTGTGGTCATGCCATTTTTATTGATTTGTTTCTGAGAAAAATTCTGCAAGAAAATTAAAACTTTAAATTATTTTTACGGATTTTTTTATGAATATAAATATGCATGAAATGTTTCTTATGAATTTTCTTGTAAATTAACTTCAAATAGAGAGTATGAATTTTATTTATAAAATAGAATATTTATAACTTATTTATAAAATATAAAATTAAATGTTATACCATATGTAAAATGATATTAAAATAATAAGTGAAACGTAAATCTTTACCGTCTTTTTATAAATTTTGTATATCTATGAAATATTTTGAAAATATTTTATATGAGATAATTTTTGTTAAAATATTAAGTAATTTATCTTTTGAATAAATTATTTGTAATTTTACAATTTTCTCTTTTAATTTTTCTTTGATGAATAATCTATTTATTTTAAATTATTTTGTTTGATCATATTACATTTAATTATTCAAGAATTTTTATTATTACATTATAGTTTAATAGGTTGTGTGAATAAATATTTAAGATCGTATAAGAAAAAAATTAATCATAAAATTTAGTAAATTTCAAATATCAAACTTTAGAATTAACTTTTGCATTAGAATGAGAGATTGCATTTTATTTTTTGCATTTGAGCAAAAGATTATATTTGTTTTTTCTTCTCTATATACCAAAATTAAAGTAAATGGAGGTTAATAATTTATATTCTAATTATCCTAATCAAATCAACATTACTATATAAATATCTATGTATTAATAATTTATATTTTTTAACAACAATTATTTTTTACTTATTGACTTTAAATATTTTAAAATATATAATACTACATACATATTTTGATTGTTAGGATTATGCATAAATGGTCTAATAATTCTTAATACATAGACAATATTTAGTTTCGTGGTACTACTTATATCAATCTTCCACGTATTTAGTATTTTAGTTTATCAACTAGGAATTAATCTAATATATTTGATAATTTTAAATTTTTCTTAATTGATGTATTCATTGAATTATTTGGCTCTCATAACAAGTTTAGTATATATTTTGTTTGAAACAAATTCTTAATCTAAAATACTTCAATTCTTACAAAATATTTTAAAAGACTAAAATTTTTTATTTCAAACTTAAATACTTTATACCACCTTATTTTTCTTTAGATAATTTTCTCTAACAATAATATCATCCATATATATTACCTTCTTGTTTCTTAAAAAATAAATTATGGTCTGAATTTTTTTATAATATCTTTATATTATCATCGATTTTGTAAATTTATTAAATTATGATTGTGGAAATTATTTCAACCCATAAAAAAAATTATTTTAATTTGCCTATTTTTTATGTGTTCTTGGATATTATTGGTGATTAATTTCTCATATAAAAATATATTTTTATATCAAATTCTTTTGATGATTAATCTAAATTTATTATATAAAGATATTCATATTCGAATAATACAAATAATAATAAAAAATAAAATTTATGTTGATAAAGTATGACTATATATCCAGTGAATGTCCACTTATATATGATAATAAAAAATTTAATTAAGTCAATAAAATAATAAATTATTGGAATGAGTAATAATTAAAATGAGATTCAGAGAGATGTTATATATAAGTCATAAAATTACTTACATTAAAGATAAATAATAAAATAATTATCTTATTATTAATATAATATTAGACATACAAGATATCTAAATTGTTAAATGTTATCTGGTTACTAATTAATATATTTGTAACTAATTCATTATATCTTTAAAATTATATATTTTAAATATATCAAATACGAGTAAGTATTCAAATTTCCCAAATTTAATGGTATTTAAGTATATGTTATTAAGTAGATAAAAAAATTATTTAATTATATGTTATTAATTTTTAGAAGTGTGTCGATGATTTTTGAAGACGAGGTATGGCGAGTACAGTAGTACAGAAAAGCACTTCTCCAAAAAATGAAAAGGATGAAAGCAAAATGTTTGTGCTGAAATTATCCCACGTCGATGATGAAGCTTGGTAAGCAATGGTGGAGAAAGAAACACATCGTTGAGGATTCATGAAATTATTCATGAATCCAACAAGTGGAGAATATGAAGTTCCATAGCTTTCATGGAATAAATGTCATTTTTCCAAACATTTTTAATTAAATTCTCCACTCCACCTCACTCCATCTGACGTTGATGCCTCCCCAATTTGTGCCCACAACAACTATCCCACATCGAAATATCTTTCCTTCGCTCCCCCAACAATCTCAACTCATCTATAAAAATTCAACGCATTTTTAATTGGCATGTTCGTTGGGGTTCTTGGCATCACCAACATCCAAGTGTATGGCTATGAACCACGCCACATAAGCCGAAACATTTCAATCAAATCAAGTCCTTTTACCTTTACACACACCACTCGATCGTGTAGGTGTATATATTGAAGGTTCATGTTACTCAAAATCATCACCAAACATTCCTCGTTAACCTCCTTTGTCACTCTGTCTCACTACATTCCTTAACAGAAAAGAACCTCACTCAAACACAATGCAGGTATGTGTATTTATGCAGTTATATATCATCATGAAGAATATGCATGCATAATTTACATGAAAGCTTTTGTGTAACTATATCAGATTCTTCAATGGGTCTCTAAAGGTCCAAATCATCATCAAATAGGGAGGAGTAACATTGCTTCTTCCAACTACTGCAAAACAATAAGAGGTAACCATTCTTCTCACTTTCACTTTTGCTAAAATATTTTCAAATATTACTTGGTGAAGTTATTAAAGGTGATATTGTTTTAATTACGTTTTTCGAGAAGGTTTACTGAAAGATCCAGTACCAATCAACGAATCATAATTTCAATCTCCATAAAAAATTAATATTATTTTCAACTTAAAATATTAGATTACAGATTTTTTTATATGTTACTCGATTTTCTATTTTAATGAGACTTATATTTATATCTGATTATCCATCATAAACATCATTTTACATATTTTATTATAAATTTTTTATTAAACATTGATTTAAAGATAAAAATGGATTGTATAGTTTTTTACAGACCATTTAGATACCAAATATTAGTGTATTAGTCTCTACTTTTTTTAGTCTCTAAATATTAGTGGTTGATTTATATCAATTATTTTTAGAGATTAATATTTAGATACCAATAAAATTAGTCTCTAATATTAATGGGTGTAAATTAATTAAAAAATGTTTTATCATTTTAAAGACTAATCTTTTAGTTTCTAATAACAATTTTTCTTATAAACTCATCATTCAAAACACATGAAAAACTTGTATCATGAACACTCAAATAATGAGTCTTTTCTCATGTTTTCCTTTCTTTTTCAGATAAAAGGGCTAAAGGAAAAGATGTACTCACACTTAGGCATCATAGGGCGTATCGAGGAACAAAGGGAATCGAAGGGAGGAAACTTGGCAGCAAGAATTTAAAGCTGTTTATCTTCATGTGTGGGAAAGATATCCCAAAGGCTTGTTTTTACAGAACCCTCAACATAAACAGAATAGAAAACTTGAACAGAAGGAGGAGAAGGAGCTTCATTCGCTCAGTGCATATGAAGAGAGAAGAGTTATCTGAAGGAGTAGGAATTTCTGAGAAAACAGATTTTGTTGCCCATGTAAGAAACAAGGTTTTGCCCATATCTGAGGATTCATTCTCCAAAACAACTAAAAGAAATGAACAATATTGTTTCAATGCTGAACCAAAGGATCCAACTAATGGTAATAATAGAAAGAAGCCACCCATTTCAAGAATGAAAGAGCTACTTAGAAGAGTTGCTTCAACAAAAGAAGACAAAGTAGAAGAACTCTATGAACAAAAGGTAAAATTTCAGAACCCTTTCACTCTCAACTGATTAAAGAAAGAAGCCTTTTTGAACTGAAATTTTTAAACCATGATATAGAGACTTTGCTAATTAATGAACACTCGATCTTAGCAGGTTTTACAATATAGAAGAGAAGGAAACATGGGAGAATTTCCAGAAGATGATGAATGTAGCAGTGAATCACCGAAGATCAGTTTCACGTGGGATGTTGATACTCCTTCTGCTCTCTCAATGGCTACTTTCTCTGAAAATGTTGAAACCAAGATTTCACATTCACAAATTTGCATCCCTCGCAACACTTGCAGAAAAGAAAACTGGATCACCACAGATTCTGAATGTAAGCCAACTTGTATTTACTACCACCAATTTTTTCGTACACATTTTTAGATGAAACTTATTACTTCATTATTGTATTAAAGTATTTACGAAAAAAGTTTATCTAAACCTACCTAAATACATGACTAACCCTTACTCTACGCTTTGATTAATTAACAGTTGTGGTGCTGGAACTGTGAAGAAAAGTGTGTGAAGAAAATCTTCTGCTATTTTGTAGAGGGTGGAACTTTTCAGCAAACAAATGTAACATAGTGATCTTCATCTAATGTTGATGTGTATGAAATGGCTATGTTTTTGTTTCAGGAAACCAAATGAGTATGTTTGGCATCTGCTTCTTCATGATAAATAAATTCAGTTTAATTTGACTTAATTAATATCCTAGAGTTTACCAGTAAATGAGAGTTTTTCATGTCATTTTCCAGAGAAGATTTTCAAGTCATTTTATAATACTATATTTCTTTCTCTTGTAATTTTCCTTTTTCTTTCGTTTTGTAATTTCAAAAGTGTGTTTTTATTCTCATTTGTTATCAAAATGCTAAATAGCTTACAGTAACGTATATGCAAGAATTATAAACATAAAATATTTACAAGAAAATAAAATAAAAAATAATATAGTAGTAAGAACTAAAAATAATAATTAAAGGGTCTAAAAGCAAAAACAACAGATTTGCCATGAAAAGTAAAAAAAAGTTCCATCCTAGTGACAAGAGTTATAGACTAAATCAATTAAAACATTTGAACTCTTAATAATTTATAATGAGATTTGAAACTGATTATTAATAAGATGAAAAAATAGATCAATTTATTTTATTTTGGTTTCGTTCTATTTATTTTGTAAAAAAAATTAAAATGGATTAATTTGTCATGATAAGGTCTAATTATAGAGTTAAGTCTATTTATTAAATGATAAGTTGACGGATTATTTCATTAATATTTTTTATATAATTTTTTTATAAGTATTTTTTAAAATATATTATTAATTAATATTTTTATTAGATTGTTGGAATTAATTAACTAAATTAACTCTTATGTGATTTATATAAAATATAATGATGAACTCAAATATGATTTAATAAAATATAAGGACTTATTAATTATTATGGAAAGTCATAATAAAATAAAATAAAAAATTTACGGTAACCAGACGTTAATTAATAAAAGTGTAATCGGAGAACAAAAGGTAAAAAGATAAACTGAGAAAAAGATGTTAAAGAACGCATTCTTATTAAATATCTCTCATGGATCAATGTTAGTCTTCTTATTATGATTTATATTATTATGTGAGAATCATAAATATAAAAATCTTGTAGAGTAATTTTCTAGAATGAATTAGAAGAAAACTATAAAATAATTTACATAAATAACTTAAAAAATTATTATATGTATATTAAAATACTTAATTATAATTAATAATTTAAATATAATTAATATATTAATATTTAAATTATAATATTATAATATATTTGTATATTTTAATAATATGAAATAAAAAATATAATTTTTTATTTTTATTTTAATAATATATAAATATCTTTTTAAAGCATACCAATAAGTCAGTGTGTCTTATCATATATCCTTCACCTACTAGGTTGGTGAGTTAGGTGGACGAATTAAAATAAATTGATAGACTAAAACTACAATTTTTTAGACGAGCCAATGGACCTATATATCAAATCTAATCTATTTTATCATCCTTTATCATAAAATAAGTTATAATCTAACATCAATATTTTTAGAACTCTACTTTTCACTAAACACGTGATATCATGTTTAATAAGATATATTTAATCGAAAGTTAATAAAATAATATTTTTTGTTAAACATACAAGGATATGAAACTTGAAGATTTTGATGATGATTCAAGAATAAAGGACTTGAAGACTTAGAATCATGTGTATTTTACTTGTAATAACTTTGTTTTATGTTTTTGAGTCTGTATCATTAGAGTACAAGATAGTCAGTACATAGTCCATTATCTGAAAACTCATTTTTATCAAATTCACTCTGTGATAATCAATTATCACTCAGGATAATCGATTATCCTGCACTGAAAATCATTTTCCTGAAAAGCTTGTTGTGATAATCGATTATATCACTCAGGATAATCGATTATCCCAGCCAGATAATCGATTATTTACACAAATAATCGATTATCCTGGTCCTGTTTTACTCCTCTGCGAAAATGGCTCTGTAATAATCGATTATAACTCAAGATAATTGATTATCTACGTCTGTTATGAGTTTTGAAATTCAAATATGGACCAATTTATGAAAAATCTATTCCCAATTCTTATGTTTTCGAAAATCATCATTTCCCAGACCCTATTCTCTCTACTTAAGGTTCTCTAAGGCTCTCTGCAAATTAACAAACCTTTTTCATACAAAAGTTAAGAGTTGTGACTGCTAGAGAAATTTCTGTAGGGAAGAAAAATGGGCTTTTGAAAACCTAGTATGGGCTAGAAGCGATAAGAATCACTGAGTGAGTTTCTTGGTGGATTATGTGTTGTGTCGTCTCTAGGAAAAACTATTGTTCATCCTTTATGGATTCAAAGGAGGTGTTCATCTCTTGTGTGACTCAAGATGAAAGTGATACTAGCATAGATCTCAGTGATTTGATGAAGTCAAAGATAAAGTCAAAGGTCAACTCTGCAACAGTCAAACAAGTCACTCAGAAGAATGGAGCTGAAGACTTAGTGTGTCTTAACAGAAAGCTTAGGTAAAACCACTTTACCTTTTCCACTGCATGAAGCTCCTTCACTCAATTTGCAAAATGCCTCAAAAATAGTTTTAAACAAATCAAACAAAAGCATTTTAACAAAGAACTTTCTTAACAATGTTTTTAACTGATATAGTTTTAAAAGAAACAATTAAGATCACTTAGAATGCGTAAAGAAGTGTTTTTTTCAGTATTTTAATCGATACAAACTTATTTTAATCGATTAAAACACTTTATGACCGATTAGAATTCGAATATGACAGGTCAGAATGAAATATAATCGATCAGACTTTAAAAATGAGCGATCAGATTTATTTTAATCGATTAAAACACGTTTCAATCGATTAAAACCACTTTGGAAGTCAGGATGATCGATCAGAATGAAATTATGACCGATCAGAGTTGGTTATGATCGATCAGAATTGAATTATGACCGATCAGACTTATTTCAATCGATTAAAACGAATTTCAATCGATTAAAATGACTTGAAAATTTTTGTACAGAGTTTCAATCGATTAAAACGCATTTCAATCGATTAAAATAACTTGGAAAATTTTTGTGCAGATTTTCAATCGATTAAAACGACTTTATATCAGTTAAAATAACTTGAAAAGTTTTATAAGAAAGTTTTAAAGTAAAACAATCGATTAAAACGCGAATCAATCGATTGAATCACTCTCAGAAAATGTTTGTAAAATGTTTTAACTGATAAAAACGTGGTCGTATCAGCTAAAACAATTTTGTTAAAGAACAAGAACGCATTAATGGGTTGAAAGGACTTTTAACAGATTATAACGGCTATTTCAACAGATTAAAACAAACTTTCAACAGATTCATTAATGCAGCAGATTTGAAAATTCTCTTTAAAAACAGTTTTGCTTGAAACTTTTAAACAGAGATTGAACATAAGTTTTCATATCATCCAAAGCAATCAATTCAAGCAACTGTTAAGCATCCTTTTTCCAAGAAAGAATTACAACTGTTTTGTGAAGTTCTTTTTGAAATCTTTCTTGAGGCATATTGCATTCTGTGAAGAAGAAACTTACTGTGGATTAGAGTAATCCGGTTTGAGCTTTCTAAGTCTCTTCTTTGTAAATTCTTTTTCATTACTTTGTATTGTGTTGTACCTGAAATTTGGGTACAAGTTTTCTCGTAGTTGGTAGGTGGTTGTAGAAGTTGCCAAGAACTGGAATTTGATTCTTGGTGGAGAGGTTGAGTACGAGAACTGGAATTTGGTTCTTGTACTTGTTTGGTGCCTGGAATTTGGGCACTTGGGTTCTCTCGTGCTGGAATTTGGTTGCGAGAGGTTTCCAAGAACTGGAATTTGGTTCTTGGTGGAAAGGTTAAAGTCGGGAACTGGAAATTGGTTCCGGTGTTAGAGTAGGTGTAAGATTGTTGAGTCTCGTAAAACATCTATTCTAGTGGAACCCAGCTGGAATTTGGCTGGAGACTGGACGTAGCCCTGGTATTGGGTGAACCAGTATAAAATTACCGGTGAAATCTTTCCTAACCTTTCTCTCTTTAAATTCAGTTGTTGCGCTTGTATTGTTTAATTGCTTTGTGATTCGTGAATTGATCAGTAAACTTAATTTTCGAATTAGATAATCTGTTTATTGCGAAAAACTTTCAAAAATCAATTCACCCCCCCCTCTTGATTTAAAACTACTTTTCTAACACAAGAGAGGTGTTTTCTATTTCTTATCTTTTTCAATTTGTAATCTGTTGTGAACTGTGATTATAGTGACAAGGTTAATCCTCTTTTTGAGTGATTAGCAACTGGACGTAGGGTCTTTTGATCAGAACCAGTATAAATCAACTGTGTAATCTTCTTTCCCTTATCTCTTTACTTTACAAAGCATTTTAATCGGTGAAATTTGGAAAAAATTTTAAAACCCTATTTTTTGTTTAAGAAACCAATTCACCCCCTCTTGGTTTTTGTCCCTAAACGTAAACATTCCGCTACATGATTCTAACAAGTGGTATCAGAGCTTGTTTTGATAGTCATTCAAATTTCGAAAATGGTCGGACAAAACCAAACCTTTTCCGAAGGTGCTTCTATCAATAGACCCCCACTTTTTGCCGGGCAAAATTATCCTTTTTGGAAAGTTAGAATGCAAATATTTTTGGGGTCTATTGATAGGGGTGTATGAGATGCAATTGTAAATGGTCATTTTATTCCAAAAGTTACTGAAAATGGAGAAGATGTATCTAAACCATTTTCTAGATGGACTGCTGAAGAAAATAGAAAAACTCAATATGATGTTAAGGCTAGAAATATAATTTCGTCTGCTTTAACCCTTGATGAGTTTTATAGAATATCTATTTGCAAGAGTGCTCAAGAAATGTGGGAAATGCTAAGAGTAACCCATGAAGGTACCGATGATGTAAAAAGAGCATGGAAGAACTCATTGATCCAAGAATATGAAATGTTTAGAATGCAACCGGGAGAATCAATTTTTGAT